AACCTAACACAATGGAGACGTGGGGGGCTGAAGCCCTATGTTCCTCTACGAACTAAAGGAGCCAATAAGAAAAATAATAATAATTTTTCTCTGACATAACTTAAGGATACGTCCCAGTTATAATGAGGAGTATCAGTTTTTAAGTTAGACCAGTTTCTGTACATGTATTCACTGAGGTGACTTAAGGTGAGCATTTTTTGTCACCCGTTTATCACTCTTATCCTGTTTTGCAGTCTCCCCCAAAAGCCGTCGTTTGAATTACTATGGTTTCCAGTAGGAGGGTCGACGACTACTTACTGGCAAAATGTGGATAATAAAACAAATTAAAATAAATAATACCAAATCTAAATCTATCCCTAATTGTAACCCTAACACTAACGCTAACCTTGGTGCTAACCCTAACCACAACCCTTATCTTAACCTTAATGCTAATTATACTCCTGATGCTAACCCTAACCCTAATACCTACCTAAATCCTAATCCTAACCCTAGAGAGCTATTAACACCTCATCCAAACAGTACTTAAAAACGTGATCTGCGTGAAATTTCCTGAACATGTACCAAAAAGCTTATGTCTAAAGGGAACAAATGCTTTAAACAGTGCCATCGCCAGGCATCTCCTCGACACGGGTCATGAGGTGGACGTCGAAAAGTCATTCAAAATTATCAATAGGCAAAAGAGCTCAATTCTCCTCAAGTTTGCTGAAGCCATTTCCATCAAGCGCCTGAAACCTGATTTGTGTGTTCAGAAAGAAACAGTTATCAGTCTTTCTTTGCCCTGGTAACTGGATATTTTCATCTCTCTTTCATCTGAATGCGTAATGCTGAAAAGTTTCCATTGTGTATGATTATTATTGTTCGGAATAGTGTTTAATATTATAAATATATATATATATATATATACATATATATATAATTACTGTATGCATATATTGATCGATTGATTTTTGCTTAAAATGAACTTTGTGCAAGTATGTTAAAATTGTTTCTGTAGATATACTTAATAATGACTTTGGCCTGTAAGCAGCTGACGAGAAGGCAACGAAATAAGCAATGATGGTACCGTTTCATTCTGCAAAAACTGTTCAAACTTGAATTTCTACTGTTTATCACATTTCTTAACACACCCCAGTCCAAACAGTCTATACTACAACCCTACCACCACCTCCAGGCAGTTCAAACCAAGACTTAATGGATTAATTGGTGTCATTTCTTTTTGCATCTGAACTGATCCTTTACCTGTTGGTAAGACTGTTAGGGTCGTGGCGGCAGGTGATGTCTCTCCATGCAAGTGACATACATATCCTCACTATATCAAGGAAAGTAGTAATCAATAGTATGTTATGTAAAACAGTATTATGCTATAAACCCCCTCCCCCACTACCACCACCAAACCCATCCCGATGACATTTACCTTTGAGAAAAACTAACTGAGTGAAAGCTTTTTACAAACCATACTTGCATACAGATTGCTTTCTCAACACGTAATTCGATGTTTAGACCACAATATATAAAGGATGGAGTAAATTGAAAGCATTATGCGAAATCAAAAACCAGAGAGCCGGGAGTTATGATGATGTATGTACAAGAAGTAGTCAAACGAAGACTCGATAAAAGTATAAAACTTGGGCACTGTGCTGGTAGAGTAAAACTCAATTATAGATAAGATTTTACTTTGATAAGTCACACAGTGTTACACAGTAATATTAAGTGATGACCACGTTTCGAGCACAAATTATTACTGCTCATAATCATATCAAGTCACTCACTCACACAACTTTTTCCTTCATTTATATACATGTGTGGAATTGACCAGATATTTGAATAAAAATCAATATAGGATAATGTACATCCGTTAACTGTTAAGGCAGGTTTAGTTAAGTGTTTAACAAACCGAGCAGTAGCACTAAGCAGCACAAAAAAGACCTAAATGATGAAATAAAACAGATAGAAGACGCGTTGGTGTTAAATAACTAACTATCCTATAAAATTCATTAGGAAGATCAGAAAAGGTAAAAAGGAAAATAAAAATAATTGTGAAACTAGTAGTGATAACATAAATAAGAGAGAATATAAGGCATCTACAGTTTTACCATATAAGGAGGGAGGGGACATCTGAGACCCTCCTTATGTAGGATTCTTAATAAAGCAGGAATTAGGGTGGCATTCAAACCTACAAACTCAACCAGGTAGGACAAGCTCTGTGGGTTGAAGGACCCTGTTGGTTGACCCAATCAGACGAAATAATATAATTTACAAAATATCTTGCAATGATTGTTAGGTCAACTATATAGGTCAAACTAGTAGGTCGGGGGTAGTCAGATTGTCGGGACATAAGAATTTAGCTAAGGTAAGAATGGTTGACCCACGCATTAACACACAACCACACAAAGGGGTGGGTGGGAGAGGGTTAAAATTCTAAAAAGTAATCTAGATATGTGGAGAGAGAGATTGATCACTGGATCCTGCCTTGTTCACCCAACACATGCAACAGAAATAACTCAATGCAAATACCAGAGATATGGAATATATTATTACCGCCAGTCAGTCAAATCAGAGGAGGATAATAAATAATCTTAAAATTCTATTTCAATTCATTCTAACAGGTTACTTATTTTGACTATAAAAACGCTCGTCTTATTTCCCATCTGATTGTATTTGATCAATAACACTCATATTTATAATTCTGAATGTACATTATCTCATATTGATTTTTATTCCAATATCTAATCATCCATTCCACTCATGTATATAAATGAAGGACGAAAGTTGTGTGAGTGACTGACTTGATATGATTATAATGGGCAATAGTTTGTGCTCGAAAGGTAGTCATCAGTTAATATTACTGTGTAACACTGTGTGACTTATCAAAATAAAATCTTATCTATAATGAAGACTCGATAAAGCTAACAAGAGAACTTATTATGCTTCAAAACTTGTTTTCCTTAACACCACACTAAGCGAGTGCTTCAACAATCTGGGAAAGACCATTTGCCAGTCTTCGACACTTCAAACGGCGTATATCAATTTGAGTGTGTTTGTGGAAGCAAATACATAGGTCGTACGGAAAGGCGATTGTCTACTCGCATGATGGAGCATTTGCCAAAATGGTTGAAAAAAAAGCTGAATGCAAAGTGCCAAAAACCTCAATAACAAAATATCTTGTGGACTATGGACATGACATCGATGCTGTCAAGTCATTCACTATTGTCAGCTGACAAAGAAACAGGAAGATGCTTGCAATTGCAGAGGAGGCTTGTGAAATTCGAGTTTATAAACCAGGTCTCTGTGTACAAAAGGAGATGGTCGTCACTCTGAATCTACCATGGTAATATGTTTTACTTATTATTCTACCTCTTATAATTATTATTGATTCATTTAAAACTATCCTTTATCAGTAGCATTATCTTAACTCACTTCAGCATTATTATTATCATTATAACTATTACTATTGATATTACTCTGTTTGAAATTCTTGATATATTCTCTAATGTCTAATTGTTTATCTAAGTGATATAATTGAAGTGTAATGCATTTTATCTTAATTTCAATCTCTCATACTCCCTCTCGCCTTATCTATTTGAACATGGCCTGGAAAACATTCGCACCTATCTTTCTGCATGACTAATTCAATGTAGTTTATTTGCTTATCAGTCTTATTATGTCGTGCCATAATAAAAACCTCGCTTTGTTTACTAGCTCGCTAGTTTTCTAGCCGAGCACAAACCCGAGAAAAGAGGCAGTGTTGAACAGGAGTGAGGTTAGCGACCTTACCCCCCAAAAATCAATCAAACTGCTACAGAAACTTCAGCGCACAAGAAAAATATTAAAAATTCAGAGAAAATGACACAGAGGGCTGGTGAAAGCCTACATCGGGGAAGCCACTCAGCCAACCGATGTGTATTCTTTCAATGAAAGCGAGAATACGAATGCGGACGTGGAATGTTCGTAGAATGTACGAGACTGGCTGGGAAGGCTGCCCAGGTGGCCAAAGAAATGAGAAGATATAGTAAAGAGAAGTGCTGGGAATCTGCGAGAGCAGATGGAATGGATGTGGACTGTCAAAGTTGTCAACTGGAAAGTCAATAATCTATTCCAGTCTGGTTACGCAGACGACAAAAACGAGCATACTGGGAGGGTGATTGGCTACCATCATGTCACCAGTAGCAGCCAGATCCCTAATGCAGTGAGAACCAATTTCCTCATGCAGGATCATGACAGCAAAATTCAACTCAAAAGGGATGAGGGTCTCAATCCATCGCCTCCCCCGACGGGCATTACTAGCTGATATAGGTGCAGGTTGGAAAAGAGTAAGTGGTGGCCAAACAAAAACATGGCCTCATCAATCCATGAAATCCTTGACACTTAAACTGAGTCAGGTAGAGCGATGCGGACCTCCGGGTTGGGGCCCACCCTCGGGACTCTAAGAATCAATGGCTGGAGACAATAGGTGACATGGCTCAAAATCGTTGTCAATGGCTTACGCAGATGTATTCAGTCTCTGTAATCTTTCATATTCCTTTCTACCATTACTCATTCTGTTTCACTCTTATACTTGTCAAAACTCTATTGATTCTCTTCACTCATTTTCTTGTCTATCTTTGTGTGCTATTTGGAACGTGGCAACTCGAACTGCAGCACTTCGGTGCCAAGTTCTATGTTGAATCCAGACAGATAGGGTCTCAATCATCCAATGCTACAAACATCTCGGAACAAGAGAAGAAGGAAGATTTCTATAAACAATTACAAACAGTAATAGACAACATCTCAAATCGAGACATCAAAATCCTTATGCACGATATGAATGCCAACCGAACTGGAAGCACACAACACGGGAAAAGAAATGAGATTATGGTCAAATCGTAGGCCCAGGCAAAAAAGAACAGCAGAAAATAGAACAAAGTAGAGATGTGCGCGGTTGAAGCCCTATATTCTCCTCAAAACCCAAAGGGACAATAACAATAATGAAAGAAAACCCCCATCAAAACTGCAACACTTACGTGACTGGAATTGGCGGTGAATGACACGCAGCTGGACAGACATACACTGAAGTATTCAATGCATCAGTTTCTAGTTTAACAAAAAAATCAATATCTTGTTGAATTAAATAATCACTGGACGCCTCTTTTGGTAATGGCGATGCCAATGATGGTGATGATGATGATGACGATGACGATTTACGCGTATCCAATCCATCAGGATGACTGGATACAGATGATAATAGACTGGAAGATAAACTTGGTGAACGCCAAACAGACAATTCGACAGCCATTAAATGCGGTGAAGAGATACTGCCTTCACGTGATAATAGGCGTATTTCAAAGTCTGTATAAACTCCAGGTTTATTCAGCTCAACTCGATGGAATATAATATCACGATGTATAGAATCTGGAGGATAATTGAAGGCTATATGATCATGCGTTACATGGAATGAACCAATACTGCGAAGTGCAGCCTGAAATGAAAACAAAATAAAGAAAAAAAATAAAAGTGATAAGAGTGCTAAAAAATTATGCAATGGGGAAGGGGTGGTGTATGTGTCTGCTAAGCGTGAACACACTTCGAAGTGTGTAGTTTACAAATTACGAATCTGATTCAATTGAAGTATGCGCTGAAGATGTTGCCTACTACTAGGGAAATGAAAGCTTCGCAAATAAACCATCCAGCTCTCAGAGAACACAACTACATCAATCAGTGCGTTCGCCATTCATTGATTGCGATTCTTGGCCATATCCGATAACGTTTCGAGCTATCTCTCTGAACTCAACCAGCGAGTCATGATGCACCAACCAATGCTAACGCCAAGTCATGGACTGCCCCCACCTCTCCGATTTTTTCCGTCGCGTCCCAGGGCTAGCGAACAGAGACCTGTACGAAAGCCTCTGGGATGACATTCGTAGCACATGTCCAAGCCACCGAAGCAACTGTTTCCAGATGACGACACTCAACGAATGGTGATCCCCACTGTGTCCAAACACACGCCACTGAACCTCAGAATTACTCACACGATGATACCATCGAAAGCAAGCAATCCTGCGGAGACAGCGATGATCGAATACGCAGAGCTACCGCACATCCTCAGCTTGGAGAGAGCAAAACAGCGCACACCGAAGCATTGTATACCCGACAACAGAGCTAAAATCGCGACGGCGCCAGAGGTGGCTTAAGTTAACGTATGCCACCCTAGCTTTCATGATACAGTTGGAAATCTCATCTGTCACCCATCCGCCAGCACTCACACAACTACCCAGATGATACATGAACTTCACCTGCAAGCAAGAGTGAGTGCAGGTAAAGGCTCCTGCCAATCTTGTAACAGTACTTTTCACTTAGATGGCGCAAAGCACATACCATACTTACACACATACTGTACATAGTTAGATGAGCTCTACTGAAAATAAGCCGAATGGCCATCCACTGTTCAGACAATACACTAATCATTTTGAATCTTATTCTCTTATCGATAAAGAAGTTGAAGTCGCCTGGTAAAAAGATTAAATAAATAGTCAGTGAAACAATCGACAATAATGCAGGTAGTCAAGATAAGGATAAGAAAATCTGGTGAAAAAAAAAAACAATCAATCACAGTTCAAAGGTCATCAGTAGAGAGACAGTTAAATCATTCATGAAGAAGTAAAAGAAAAACATCCCAATCTTTTTACCAATCAATAGGGTTATTTTAGTTAATCAGTTTTAGGTATCGGCGGAGGTGAAATTAAGAGGTTAAAGGTCATCAAAACATCAACTAACTAATAGATCTTTGATCTTAATTTGCATTGAAGTAAGCTCTGAAGATGTATTCTAAGTGGAGATAGTGAAGGCTTCACAGCCATGTACCATTCAGGTCAAGGCACACAACCACACTAATACAACACCCACCCATGCGATCTATAAATCTTCTCAAGTATTTTAAAACGCCAAGAGCTTAGTGGATATCTTCGATTTTGAATAAAGCAAGAACAACAACAGTGGTGGTTTGTGCAGAATACAAGATGGTACCATCCTTTGTTTATTTCGTTGGCTTCTCATCACCTCAGCTGCTTACAGCCTAAATAAATTTTGAGGTTTATGTACAGAAAAGTTTTAACATACTTGCAAATTTTTCATGGTGTCAGTTGACAGAAGGTTCCACAATTAGTGAACAATGCTCAGAAAATTGCACTTATATAGTTTTTACACAGGCACTTCAAGTTTAAACAAAATAAATACCAGTGCAAGGGTAACTGGATGTCTTTATTCTCTCTCATTTGATTACGTAATCTTTGTCTTTAACCTCACTCCCCCACTTTCATAATTTGTATTTTTGTTTGTCTGTTGTTTCTATGATTTGAGTTGAACTCAGTACATTGTTACCTAATTTATTAGTCACTCTGCATCTTACGCATCTCTCGTCTTTCAATTACGTTACTCCTTTACCATTCATTGTATGCATACATTTATTTTGTTTAAACTTGAACTGCCTGTGTAAAAACTGTATAAGTGCAATTTTCTGAGCATTGTTCACTAATTGTGGAACCTTCTGTCAACTGACATTATGAAAAAAAATGTGCAAGTATGTTAAAACTTTTCTGTACATAAACCTTATAATTTATTTAGGCTGTAAGCAAGCAGCTGAGCTGATGAGAAGCCAACGAAATAAACAAAGGATGGTACCATCTTGTATTCTGCACAAACCACCACTGTTGTTCTTGCTTTATTCAAATTCACAAAAGGGGAATAAATGCATGAAGATATCTTCGATGCCTGAAAGTATCACACCTAATGAATGAACAGTAATCACATGACATTTTATAGTTACACAGAACTCAGTTACCTAGACCAGATTTCTCATGTACCAGATTAGGATGATCTATAGGAAAAAAATTTATTGCATGAAATCTGATGTGATACAACACAGTTGCTCAGGGCTGAAATAGATGGAACAGGATTATACGAGCACGTTTTATTCCGTCGTGGATTTTCTCCACTCAACTGCGTCGTACATCCTAAACAAAATCAATTATATGTTACAAAATGGTGTCTGAACATACTTTTCTTTTTTACAATGATTTCAAGTTATAGATAGAGATAGTATAAGCATGAGTAACATAATTTCAAAGATGATGTAAGTAGGTAGACAATTATTTAGTGTTAAAATAGTAACTATGTATATAGTAATTAGACAAGGGGGCGAGGGTAGAGTTCAGATTTTGCTTGGAAACAAGGATGGACTTGAGACAAAATACAAGATGAAAGAACAACAGAGTGAATTCATACAGAGATTATGGTGGAGAGTTCAAGAGGGTGGTAGTGGGGTGAATAGTGAAGTAAGACTATAAAATAGATAAAATAATTTAATTTAGTTATATTTGGAATGAGTTCAACTCAGTGAGTGAAAATCAAAATCAAGATTGAGTGGAATGTTGTGTATGCAACAGAACAAAACAATTATGGTTATCAGGATGGTGAGAGATTAGTCACACTCTCTTTCTGTATACATAAGTTGGGTCGAAGTCTTTTTATGGTGGCAATGGCTTCTATGGACAGAAGTAACTATGATTCTCTTTGTATATTGATTATTTTGAAAGCCTGACTAATTTCCACCTTATGTCCCGTGTCAATTAGGTGTTAAGCGATCGGACTTTCATAGGAGGAGACTTTTAGGGATTTGCTCGGAGAATCTAGTAGACGCTCCTCTCCTCTCAGCCATTCCTATGTACTTGCTGCTGCAAATGCAGGTGAATTGGTAAATGCAGTTGGAGTTGACATGCAGAGCAGGATACTTATCTCCTTCTGACTGGGTTAAGGTTGTAAAGTGGAATAAGTCTGTCGGCGGGAAATGTTTTTTTTCAACACACCTTTAAATGCCACCATAATTCCTGCTTTATTAAGAATCCTACATAGGGAGGCTCTCAGATGTCCCCTCCTTATATGGTATAACAGTAGATGCCTAATATTCTCTCTTATTTATGTTATCATTACTAGATTCACAATTATTTTTATTTGCTTTTGGCCTTTACTGATCTTCTATAGTTTGGTTTGTAAGGGTTAGTTATGTTTTTACGAGTTGATCACGGATTGGTATCAGTTAGAGAACCATTGAAAACTAGGGAGTACTGGATAGCTGCTGTTTCATCCTGGTTTGGGAATCATCGGCAGTACGCACCCAATGCCAGGGGTCGAACCCAGGACCTTCCGGTTACAAGCAAGCAAGCTCGTATACCATTCAGCCACTGGGACCCGATTTAATGGCTCATGAATCCCAGTGGGTGCGTACTGTCGATGATTCCCAAACTAGGATGGAAGAGCTGTCCAGTACTCCCTGGTTTTCAATGGTTCTCTAGCTGATGTTAATCCGTGATCAACTCGTAAAAACTTTACTGATCTTCCTTCCATCTGGGACCCTACGTAGGATTCTGAATAAAGCAGGAATCAGGGTGGCATTTAAACCTACAAACTCACTCACTCAGACAGGACAAGCTCTGTAGGCTAAACGACCCGGTTGACCCAATTAAACAAAATAATATAATTTACAAAATACCCTGCAATGACTGTGAGGTCAACTACATAGGTCAAACTAGTAGGTTGGGGGTAGTTAGATTGTCAGAACATAAGAATTTAGCTAAGGTAAGAATGGTTGACCTCGAGAAGATAAGTAATTTAGAAAAAAGCTCAGCAATTGCACTGCATGCATGCATTAACACACAACCACACAATAGGGTGAGTGGGAGAGGGTTAAAATTCTAAAAAGTAATATAGGTAGGTGGAGAGAGAGAGAGGTTGATTACTTAATCCTTGTTCATCGATAGTCTACACCCAACACATGTGCAATAGGAATGACTCATCACTCATACGGGCAACAAGGAAAATACTACTACCAATCATCAAACGAAATACATATTGCCTCTTATGAATAACCATTATCTACTATGTAAAGTATAAAAACTGTGTTCGGAGTGTAGTTTGTTTAAAATCAAACGTCTTATATTCTGCCAAATGTTCTGATGCAGAGTTTAAGGTGATGTAAGATTTGAAGTTCGGCTTTCTTTCAGTGTTCAACAGGAATTGTCATCACAGCCCTCTCACGGATGCTTCAGTTAGGAGTTAAGTTGAGAATACTCCATCCTTGTATATAATGTTGTAGAGAATGTACTCATCTAATACGAAAAAGATATTCTCTGCTCAAATTGTCTTTTTAATTGGTGGATGGTAACTAGCAGTGGAATCCAAGACAACGCACATTTCGTCCTACTTGGGACTCGTCATCTGGATGTACCAGCATTTCCCAGTGAGTGATGATGTTTCCACCGGGGCTCGAACCCAGTGCCCATCGTTTCAAACGCCAAAGCGTTATCCACTAGACCACTTGGGCCACGAGAGCCACCTCTTGTGCAATGGGTTATATTAGTTATTTAATTGAATTTTAGATTTTCCGTCGATTGATTGGACCGGAGTGCTCGGTCTCAGGTTGACATGTCTGTCGGCTTCTTGTGCAGATGCTTCGACGATGTCTGGGCATGTAATTAAAATTCAATTTGTGGACGGTGACTAGCAGTGGAATCCAGGATGCGCATCTCGTCCTATTTGGGACTCGTCATCTGAATGAACCTGCATTTCCCAGTGAGTGATGATGTTCCCACAGAGGCTCGAACCCAGAAGCTGGCATGTCAACCTGAGACCGAGCACTTCGGTCCAATCAATCAGTCGGCGGGAAAATCTAAAATTCAATTCAAACTGTCTTTTGTCTTCTAAATGTTTGAATGAATATTTCGGCTATACTTGAAGTCATTTGAGCAACATATTTTGCGTTATAAAAGAAACAACAAAACCTACTCAATGAGTGTTTGAAGTACACCTCAAGGTTCAATGAAGCAAGGACAACTTACTACAGACTTTATCCATCAGTGTATTGAAACAAATCAATATCCATAATCTTATTGGAAATCACTACGTCATAACAACAAACAGAGTTCAGCTTAATGGTAAGACACTCCAAGCGCCAATGCACGTAATCAAATTGACTTAATAACTCAAATATGCATTACTGAGTTATCAAAGAATGTTGTACAAAGGTTCTGCCGTGATGTGGATAAACTCTCAGAACACTTTAAAAAAATCTTTTTTAGATTATGTAGATGAAATTGCAAGTAAAGGGAAAGAAAAGAAACGTAGTAAGCTGTTAGTGACAGAGTCTGGAGAACAACGCACCTGAAACAAGATTCCCTCCGCGCTCATGTCTTTATGTGTATAATTTTTTTTTCGGATGTAGTCCCTAATGAATGAAGTGGATCTCCAAGTTTTATCTCTCCCCCCCCCCGCCTAAGTTTTGTGATAGTCGTGTTAGAATCAATAAAAAGGGATGTACAAGTTCAATTTGAAAGCCACTATACTCAAACCAAAGGGTTAATACTCTCATCAACTGAAGCTATTGTGAAAGACATAAGTCAACTCTGGTCGATTGC